AGAAGAAGAAAAAAAAAATAATCCTTAAAATGTTGATCGTCCAATTTTCGATATTCCGCGATATTTTTATTTACACGTGTAATAAACGCTCGCGATAGAATGTGTGTTTATGTAAACAACTAAATATGGAAATATTCTTTTTACGTCACTCCACGAAAGACGTTTGATCGGAGAAACAAAGAAATATGCAAATGGCGTCGTTCTCAATCAACGGTGTCGCAACGCTTTAACCGTGGATGCGGTTTAACGAGCATCGCGCTTGCCTTAGCGTTTACGTATTCGCGATACAACTCGTCTTACTTTTTCCCTTCTCTTATCGAGTTGTATATCGTTAAAAATTTCCGGTTACGCGCGCATTTGTCGAATCGAGCGAAAAGTAGTAAGCTCTTCAATCGCGATGAATATTTCATCGTGGCCGCAGCTGCGCAGCCCGTGGAAATTCATGCCAAATAATTCGCCTCCAGGCATTTCAGAGTCGTTTACATCGCGGAATTACCACGCGTGAAAACATTTCTACGTTTAGCGCCATAGCTTTAGGATAGACTTTTCCATCCCGAGTCGACTCGATTAACGATTCCTTTTTCGTCCTAACAATATCGTGGAATAATAATTCTTTTTTTTTTTTTTCTTTCTTTTCATATATGTATATAAAATACTTTTTTTTTTTTTTTGCACATTTAAATCTGAATTAATTCCGCGCGAATGCATAAATACCTCGCGGTCTCGTTTTGTTTGCGATCGTTATGTTGGATTCGTAACGTAATCGTTGAAAAATTTTCTTCTATAAAACATGAAAAAGAAAAATAATAATAAGTCTGAGATTATTTCTCCGTATCTTTCTTGATATTTAAATACTATTTTTTTTCTTGTTATTATTATTTTTTTTTTAAAAATATATTTAAGAGATTGCAATTGAAAAACGATCGTGTCATTCCACTTTTATTTTATTAAATTTGATTGTAATGTATAAAAACGTAATATAATGATGGAATTAAAACTTTCACGCAAATTTTTTTTCAATATTCATTTCTCTCTTCTTATGGATTTTCATTTTTCCAAAGAGTTTTCCTCTATTAGATAGAAATAATTATTATGAAAAAAAAATAAATAAATGAATTGAATAGGATTGATTACGTTGGAATGCGTAGATAATTCAGTTGAGATTATTCGAATATCGTCGATAACAACTTCAAACTCAACGAGTCTTTCGTATGTACTTACATACTTACTTACTCTCTCAGCTTTAAGTTATTCCGCTCGATCGACCAGTGATATCTTCATAGCTTGACTTCGTGGTGAATTATTAGACGCCGGCTCCTTTTTTTTCCTTCCCCCCTTCCCCTTTCCCCCTCTCTATCCTTTCTCAGCGATGGAATCCATTTTCCTGCTGAAACGTGTCGTTTCACACGCTCCCCACACACACGTTTTCCACGAATTTCGGTCAACGATGGAAAAGTAGATTGGCTCAGACTCGTTTTTCCCTTGTTTTTCAACTTTTTTTTTTTGTGAACTTCGGTTTCGAAAGGTTTGGAAAGACGGCGATATGATTAAGCGCGTCTCTCTCCAATTTCGAAACGAAGGGTCTCCTGGACACGCGATTGATACGCGTTCTACGAATTACCAAAGATTACCAATTTAAATTGTTTAAATTAAAAATGACAAACTGCTATTTACGATTTTAAAAAAAAGAAAAAAATACTTCTTTCTTGCTCGTTCAATTTCTAACGATAAGATCGGTAATTCTTGCATGACGAGAATCATTTACGAACGAGGGGTTTTTTTTCTTTTTTTTTTCAAGGAAAAACCGTTCGAGTTATCTCTGAAGTTCTATCAAAGGAAAAAAAAAAAAAAAAAAAAAAAAAAAAAAAAAAAAAAAAGAAAAAAGAAAAGAAGGCAAGAAATCATGGACGATCGAGAAATAGTAGAAATACCCATCGTTTAAAATTTGCTCGATTTACCCCGGATATTCGAGCGATCAAAGGAGGAGGACCCCCTTTTTCTCGATTCGTTTGCAAAACCGGACGACCGGCATCGTTTTTTACGATAATGCGGCGAAACCAGTTCCGAAATCGTTTCTCGAAATATTTCGTGCTCTTTTACCGCGCGCGCGTCCAATGGCACGAGTCAAATTGGATGGAAAGTCAAAGTGCACAGAACGATCTCCGCCATTTCCACAATGTCACCTTCTCTAACGATTGCAATTAAAGATTCTCGATTACCCGTGTTTCCGTTCGTTCCACAATCGACTCGTTAATCGGCGAATCGCTACTTCGATTTTTCCTCCTCTTTTGTTCTTTCCTTCGCGTCCTCTCTTTCCTTTGTCTTTTTTCTTTTTTTTTTTTTTTTTTTTTTTTTTCTTAAAATTACCAACGTTCGGATTCGACGATCGACGTCACAGTAATTAACAATAATAACCGTTTTTTGGTTTTCGTTCTCTCGATAATAAGATATTAAAAAAAAAAAAAAACAAAATCATTCTCTAATAATTGTTGGCGTGCAAGAGAATTTGCTGTTCCACGTGACTCGTCTATTTCGTCTTTGATCACTACTTTTTATAAACGGATTTTTGACAAGAATTTTTTTCGATTTAAAAAAAGATGAATCTTACACACATTTGATCAACGATATCAACGATATAAACGAGTGTTCCATACTTGGCATCTTGGCATCAATAAATAATTAGCGGGAAGAGTTTGAAACAAATATAAATTTATGATGTGATCATTAATATTGGAAAAAAGTAAGTTAAGAATACATACGAAGATGAATGGAGTTTCCCAAATTATTATTTATCGTTGATCAGGGATTATCAATTATAGAAATTGCATACCGATTTTCTCGTAATTGAGACGTGCAAGTTGCATTATTTAATCGGACACTCGGATCTTCAATTTATTTTACTTCGAATCTTTAATTCATGCTAACATCTCCATTCACCGTGTCTCAATCTCTCGCCTCGAATTCCTGGTGAAACGCGATTCCAAAGAACGATCTTCCGGATGAGTTTCTTCTGCTCGAATAGATTTCAACGATTCCGCACGCGACATTCCACGCACGCTTACGAAATTCATATTTCAAGCGCGTCGTCCAAAGGTTCGCTAACAGCCGTTCCACTTGCATCCACGAGAGCCAGAATTGCTTTCGCTTTCTACTTTTATCGTCCTCCTATTGGTCGATAAAAATCGATTCCAATCACCGTGCAAAAATCTCGTTCGAAAGCATAAAACGTTAATCGCCTCGCTTTAACGAGGATTAGACGAACTTTTCCAAAACTGGACCAAGAATTTTTCCGAAATGGGACGTCGTCGAGAGTCTATATATATTTCATCCTTCCAGTTATCCAATTATATTTAATTTCTTTCGCAATGAAAAAAAAAAAACACAAGTTCGAATCGAATATTTTTTTTTCTTCTTCTTCTTTTTTTACATCCGTCAAAATTACAAAAGTCTCAAGAAACAAGATCTTCGTACGAGGCGAATAAAATATTTCTATGACTCTCGTGTCTTCCACGTACACTCTCTGTCAAGCAAGGTTACCAATATCATATCACGTAAACTAGAAAAACACGTGTACATGTAAAGAGAAAAAAAAAAAAAAAAAAAGGAAGAACGACAGAAACGACACGTTTCGCAATAAATTCCTAAGTGTTTTCTCCCGGTGTATTTTTGTAGCCCGATGTATTTTCGATTATCCATCTCCCCCTCCCCTCTCTCCTCCCCCCTGGTTTTACGCCCCGGTTGTCTCTCGAACAACGGAAATAAATTCCGCTTATTTTTGCACCGCCACACAGAACACAACCAACCAACCAACGTTCCCATTCGGCTATGGGTGCTCTCATCCCGTGGAACAAGGACGGTCGCGTCTTCTATTTTTAAATAATAAACCCCTTTAATCTAAATATCGATGCTAAATATCGATGGATCCTGACGGATCCTGACGATTCATCGTCTCTCCATCTCGTTCTCCTTTTATCGGCCGTTTCGAGACGAAATTTAACGAGTTATCGTTTGGATCTATTCACCGTTGCTCGCTCACCTATCCTCCCCTCCTCTCCCTCCTATCCTCCCCCCTATCTTAATCGATGCGGGGGACTTATCGCGATTATCGCGATTCGTTAAAACGGGATGATGATAACAATAATAATAATAATAATAATAATAATAATAATAATAATAATAATGATGATGATGATGATGATCGCTGATAATGATTGAAGTAGCTTCCGCGAATATTTCTGAACCGCTTTACATCAAACGATGATACGATGGTTCGCGGGTGCACGTGATGATGCGAACTTGGCTTGGTAATTACGTTTCTCTTTTTTATCGAGCTGATTCATTTCGTTCTCCAAGTTTGCGCGTATATATGTAGCGCAATAAGTCGAGTCGGTTTTGATCTTGTTGGTGGTGATGATTGTGAAAATTGTGGTCGGTCCAACCATGGTTGGCGGGTCGTAAAATTTGTCCAGACATGATGTATTTATAGTTTGGTTTGGTTTTTCTTCTTTTTCTTTTCTTTTTTTTTTTTTTTTTTTTTTTTTTT